TTTACTGAGGGTATACGTGAATATGCACACATCACATGGAGAGGCAGTGCCTAAGGTGCAGTTCATCATGCTTGTACCTGCATCCCACATTATGCTACTTAGTAACTATGCCACCCCTGGGTGGAGAATTTAGTACTGTAATCAGCAAAGTTCACTCTAGGTTCGGAATTTAATGCTGGAACTTAACTGGCTTCTGCTGGTTCTGTGGTCATGAGCTTCCCTCTCAACTCCCTGGAACTGGCTGTTCTTNAGAAACAAATGTCTGTTGTCTAGAAGCCACCAATTTGTGGTACTGTGTTATAGCAGCCCAACAGACTAAAACAGTAGTCCATAAATGAAGTGACGAGACTTATGATTTCCAGATCCAGTCTTGTCACTAATATTCCCCTTTACACCTTTGTCTGTCGTTCCATTCAATCCTCCCACTCAGTCTCCCCCAATCAGAGCCTTGTCCCTTCTTGGCTGTGACCCTTTGCATTTCTTTACCCTTTCTTATGTAGGTTGAAAGGTCGTCTTTGAAGCTCCCAGAGCTACCTGTAATAACTATCAGTATCTGCTTCTGTCTGTTCATCCACATTAGAGCAGCTTTTCCCTTCAAAGCCCAAAAGATGGAAAATATTTACACCTTGAAATTTTTCATATTTAGAAAACAAGGTATCAAAATAACAAAGAGCATTTCTGAAGTGAATTTGTTACCGGACTCAATTGCACTCCCGGTGAGTATAATCAGCAAATGCAACCGAGGCCAGAAGTCTGGATAGGAAGGTTTATTGCTTGTTACAAGTAAGAAGAATGCTGGGATTGCTCCCAAAAGGAGGGTTACAGCTTCTTTTACTGAGGGTATACGTGAATATGCATACATCACATGGAGAGGCAGTGCCTAAGGTGCAGTTCATCATGCTTGTACCTGCATCCCACATTATGCTACTTAGTAACTATGCCACCCCTGGGTAGAGAATTTAGTACTGTAATCAGCAAAGTTCACTCTAGGTTCGGAATTTAATGCTGGAACTTAACCGGCTTCTGCTGGTTCTGTGGTCATGAGCTTCCCTCTCAACTCCCTGGAACTGGCTGTTCTTGCGATTAAACCTTTTCGGTCCCCTCCTATTCTGATATTTCTGGCTAACAGTTGCATTCTGTAAAATGATAGTGAAAAGAATCACTTGGAATTGTGCATTTTATTCCATTTTAGAAGGAGTCTTACAAACCAATAACTATATAAAGAAGCAACAGAAGACCCAAGGCAAACTTTTGGGAAAAGTTGCATTTATTTAAGAAGAAGTCATGAGTAAAGTGAGAGGTAATGAATATAATGAATTAGGGGGAAATCTCAAAAGAGCAAACATTTAATAAATGTGACAAAGCTGTAATAAATGCATCAGGAAATTCACACTGGTGAAAAACCATAAGAATATAATTAACATAAAAGAGCCCTCCTATCAGTTGGTTAGAGCATGGTGTTGATAACACCAAGGTCTGGGGTTTGATCCTGTTTCTGTCCAGCTGTTAAAAAAGAAAAAAAGCCCTCCTATACAAGTCTCAGCACATTGGACCACAGGTGAAAACCTTATGAATAGGTAGGTAAAGTTCATATCATAATGTAATCTTACTCTGCTTTACAGAACTCGTGCTGGAGAGAAAAACTGTAATTGTAATATATGTGGAATAAGC